AGCCCAGGAGTTTGAGGTTGCTGTGAGCTAGGCTGACGCCACAGCACTCACTCTAGCCCGGGCAACAGAGCGAGACTCTGTCTCAAAAAAAAAAAAAAAGAAAATAAAGAATCTACCTTCTACATTAGTAAAGTCAATATACAAATGACAACAAACAAAAAGAAAATTAAAAAATACCATTTACCATGGCATCAAAAATATTAAATTCCTAGAAATAAGTCAGATAAAAGGTATATAATACCTAAAACATTATTGAAAGAAAATTAAAGAAGACCTAAATAAATGAAAGGACATACCATGTTCATTGGTTAGAAAATTCAATATTATAAAAATATTTACCCCAAATTGATTTATGCTTTCAAAGCATTGCAGTCAAAAATCCCCAAGTGTTTTTGTTTTTGCAGAGCTTGATAAACTGATTATACAATTAATATGGAGATGCAAAGCAACCAAGAATGACGAAGATGCTCTTGAGAAGAACAAGATCGGGAGATTTGCTCAACAAAATATCAAAATATATCATTAAGTTATAGTAGTTAAAACAATATGGTATTGGTGCAAGGATAGACAATTAGACCAATGGAAAAGAACAGACAGCCCAGAAACAGACCTATACACCTTTAAGATAGAGGACAAACATGGTACTGCAGAGGGGGCTGGGAAAGGAAGGTCTTTCCACTAAATGATATCAGAACAATTTGATATCCATATGGGAAAAAAAGAAGAAGAAAATTTGACCTCCACTTCATGGCAAAATTAGAAATCAGTTCGGTATAGGTTGAAAATTTAAATGTGAAAGGCAAAACAATAAAACTTCTTAATGATAGTATAATCTTAACCTCATAGTAGGGAAAGATTTATTTAGTGGGATACAAAATGCAGTAATTATTTTTAAAAATGGATAAACTTGACTACATTAAAATGAAGAATTTCTGTTCCTCAAAAAATCACCATTGATTGAGTACGGTGGCTCACACCTGTAATTCTAGCACTTTGGGAAGCTGAAGTGGGAGGATCGCTTGAGGCTGGCCAGGAGTTCAAGACCAGCCCTAGCAACATAGCGAGACCAGGTCTCTACAAAAAATGAAAAAATTAGCTGGATGTGTTGCATGTCTATGGTCCCAGCTACTCGGGAGACTGAGGCAGGAGGATTGCTTGAGCCCAGGAGTTTGAGGTTGCAGTGAGCTGTGATGATGCCACAGCATTCTAACCTGGGCAACGGAGTGAGACCCTGTCTCACAGGGAAAAAAAAAAAACCAAAACACCATTAAGAGAGTAACAAAGGCAAGCTCACAGTGGGAGAAGATATTTGCCACAAAAATCAACCAAGAACTTATATCCAGAATGCATAAAGAACACTCCCAAATCATTAAGAAAAATGAATGAGAAACTTGAGCAGGCATTTCACAAAAGAGGATGTCCAAAAGGCCGCTGAAGATATGAAAAAGTGCTCAGCCTCTTTAGTAATCCAGGAAGTGCAAATTACAATCACAGTGAGTGCCTCTACCCATCTACCATAATGGTTATTATGTTGGTGAGAATATGGAACTCTCATACTTTTAATGATATACCCACTTAATAAAACAGATTGGCGTAATCAAGTATACTAGATTGTGCCAAAATGGTACACTCTATGTGTACCAAAGATAAAAATGTTCATAGCAGCATGTCATAATAGCCAAAAATAGACTGAAATTCCATCTACAGGAAACTGGATAAATAAATTATGGTATATTTATATTAATACTATGATTTGAATTCTGAGTGAAATGAAAATTAATGAACTACAGCTACAAACAACAATGGGGATAAATCACATAAACATAATTTTGAACATACGAATCCAGACAAAAAAAATATATGTTATGTAATTCCATTTATATGAAGGTTAAAAAATGGACAAAATGAAACTGTTCAGGGATGCCTGCTTTATGGTAAAACTAAAGAAAACCATAAAACTTAGGATAATGGCCTCTTTCATGGGGGAAAAATAGAATATTGACTGGGAGGGCACTTTTTAGGTTCTGTGAGTGCTTTGTTTCTTGACCTGAGTGTTGGTTACATGGTGTTCATTCTATGAAAATTCTTTGAGGTGTATATTTTGGGTTTTTATTTTGCAATTTTGTCTCTGTGTTACAGCAAAAAGATTTAAAAGAAAACCAACAGAACAATTAGTAAAGAAATAGTGGATATCTTTGTATGGACAGGAAAAAAGAAGTGATAGTCATGGTAATTTTCAAATGTTTTTTCCTAACCTATTTGGTGAAATAGAGAATGTATTAATTGGGCTCATCACAAAAGCTCTGGAAGAAGAAAGAAAGGGTGGCTGACAATAAGGGGGAAAGGTTTAGGAGTGAGGTGGAGACTTCAGAAGAAAAGATGGAAATTCAAAAGGAAGGGAGCATGCTAGAGAAATGACCAGAGACAAATACAACTAAGCCCCGTGGAGTTCAGACAAAAACACTGGATGTGTTCTGAGAAATGAAAGTATACTAAACCCAGGGAGGCGATTGGTGCCTAAGAAAAAATATGTTGGTAAACTATTTGGGCTTAGCGTGGAGTGCTGGCTGAGAAACTTGGGGAAGCTTTGGAAGAACATAAGAAACATGATTTGAGCAGTGATCTTCAAAGCAGCATGCATGCCCTCCAAGGGGTATGCTAGACAGTACTGTCTATGCTGTTCGTTTAGAAAATATTACAGCCTCTACTTGTTTTATATCTTATTTATTATTAGTACATTTATTTTATAGCCCCTGATATTTTATGTGTTTTGTAATGTACAAAATATATTTTATAGAAGAACATATGTTTAACTATGAATTAATTCATTCAATAAATATTAAAGGACTACTCTGAGCTAGGTATAGTTGTAGGTACTAAGGGTATAGCAGAGAACAAGATAGACAAATCTCTGCCCTCATGGAGCTTACATTCTAGTTGACATTCTAGTCAATAGAGAAATGTATTTTATAAGGACAGGTAGTAACACATGGTATGAAAAATAAAGCAAGAGACAGAGAATGATGGGGAGGGGACTCATTTATACTGGCAGATTAGGGAAAGCCGCTCTAAGGAAGTCATAGCGGAGCAGATGGAATGAATAACTGAGGGAGCCAGTAGGGGAATATCTGCAGGAACTGTGTGTAAGGCAGAGGCGAGGCGGTGTGCTGTGAGTGAGGGAGGAGGGGGAAATGTCAGGTCAGAGGCCAGGTTAGGGCTCTGTACTCATGGTTTAACAAGTCCAGAGAG